GGGCTCACTATCTCGCTCGCTCGTTCTTCGCCCAAAAGGCGTTTTACTGGTAGTGATGAGTGTGTGATTACTCGTAAAGCCACAATATACAGTTACCCAATGATTGATCGTCTCTGTGGGACCTGTAAACATCAATGAATTTTTACAAAACTGAACATATCTTGTCTTTACTCACATTCGAACAAAAATTTGACCCAGACAGATCAAATTATCAATTTTGAAAAATAACATTATAATTTGATGCACCCTACTGTCCATCTGAAGCACAGACGGGCGGCTACAGTCGTGTTACCGCAGCCTGTCCATCTGGAGCTCAGACGGGCGGCTACAGTCGTGTTACCGCAGCCTGTCCATCTGGAGCTCAGACGGGCGGCTACAGTCGCGTTAGCCCAGCCTGTCCATCTGGAGCTCAGACGGGCGGCTACAGTCGCGTTAGCCCAGCCTGTCCATCTGGAGCTCAGACGGGCGGCTACAGTCGTGTTACCGCAGCCTGTCCATCTGGAGCTCAGACGGGCGGCTACAGTCGTGTTACCGCAGCCTGTCCCAGTGCCTTGCAGCGGAAAGCCCGGTAGAAGCAGATAACGATAACGCGCCACTCAGGACCGGTATCTGCACTCTGTATGGCTCTGGGTGTCAATGGGACGCGGCCGGCCAACGGTAGATTAGATAACGGAACGCCACAGACAATCGGTCACTATGATTGGCAGAATCTGCACTCTGCTCCCGTGTTTGTACAATATCTCCTAAACGCTTTATGCCAGCTACATCAAACTTTGAGAACCCTATGCCGCGCTGGGTAGCGCAGATCCCCTGTCCGACTCGGCTCCTGGGCCACGTAACGACACCCGACGAGCGGCGTTCGCAGGGTGTCAAAAATAATGAAGGAGACATTTCGGTCGATTTTTAGGTCCAGTCAAAGGTCAGCCCACCAGAGGTCGTCGTGAGCTGATGTGAGCGGAAAAAAAAACGCTGATTGAGCAGAACACACCCACTGCGGGTTTGAGAAAACGCTGCCGCGATGTAAATACGTTGGGCCGGCGGGCACGGGGGAGTGGCCGCCAGTCGTGTGTGAGACGGATGTTTGGGGGATGTGATATCTGAAGTATGTATGTGTGGGTGATGGGGGCGGTGCCTCGATATAAGCACGTAGTGCTTTTGCACCGCGTTGCATATCCTGCTCATGACTCCTTATTTCACGATAGGTACATGATGATGACTGATGATAAGGTCACAAATGTGAAATTATGCCTATCTCAATACTTTTTGGCAAATCGGCGCATAACTCAGGAACGAATACAGCTAGAGCTCCGCAGAAAAGCGCATTCGATAGCTCTTTAACCTGGCAATTGCTGGAGTATTTTGTCCCTCACCATTTGTTGGGGGGGGGGGGGCGTTAGACGCCCCCAGTCGATAACACGAGAACCAATAAGCCAGCGAATCTTGCGAGGCGGGAAACGAATGGACGCCACAAGGCGCTTCTGATAATTACTTTTAAGTTGAATTTCGAGGTCAAGGCTGTCGTGCAAAAGCAAAAACGATTACTTTAGGCTAGCCTATAGCCTGATGTAATTGAACCTGACCTGACGTAATCGTTTTTGCCTTTGCACGGCAGACGGGTCGGGTCAAGGTCAGGTCAAACACCTGAAATTGGGCGTTCAGTAGCATGGACTAAAGGACCGCGTAATGGGCGTCTGTCGTCACACACTTTGTCAGGAATGTGCAAAATCTTTCATTCTAAGTGCTACACTACACAGGTAGGTATCAGTTTCTCGCAGGGGTCAGTTTAGCATAGGTTCGGGTCAAGGCCAGGTCAATCAGGTAAGAAGACCCCGAAAATCGAAGTTGGCATTTGCGGCACTTGGCATATGACATAGGTATGTTTTTTCACATGTTTGAATAGGATATACGCTATTGTGAAATATATGTCAATTGTCAACTATTATCAAGACATATGTTTTGGGCAATTTTAGACGGTGAACTCGATGACATCTATTTTATCATACGAGTGTAAAAAGGTTGTAAAAAAAGGTTCTAATTAACAAATACGGGTAGCGAGGGAACGCAAAACTTGTTAAAGGGACCCTCCCACCTTCAAAAAAGTTAATGAATTGGCATGAAAGTGATGTCGCTCGGTTCAGAAAGAGCAAAAACGAATATCTACCAAATTTCATCGAAAAATATTCACCGGTTCTCAAGATATTAGACTTTTGCTTTTGTTTACTTTTGGAATCTCCACTGTTCCTGCGACTTTATTTGAAAGTGCGGCATTTGTTGCGCGCAAAGCAGCATATACCACCGCGTGCTACAAAACGTTTTAGTCAAACATTTAAAAATCGCTAGATATCTGCGCTGACGTCACACATTCAGAGGGGTATTCCTATGCATTAGCCCCTCTGAATCAAAATGCTGCAATTTTGAAATTCAATATTTCCGATTTAAGGCATTTCTCGATGTTGTGAGTGCCGAAACCGGTAATTGTGAGCCAGGGACCCCATTTTGGCTATCTCAACTCAAATCTAATGTTAAGGTGGGAGGGTCCCTTTAAATGTCGCAGCCTACTACTGGTTGTTGATGAACTTCGGTTGAATGCTGAGTCTTCATCCAGCATTGGACATCATCAGGCAATGAATAAATACATAGATGAATGAGTAGCCTGGACAAGACGCGAGGTGCGTTCTTTGGACAGTTTACTTAAAGCTCCACCTGTTCACAGGATACTTCTGATCACCATGGCATCGGGCTCGCAGATCATGTCGTCCACTCACAGCCATCGCAGCTCACTTGGCAGGGGTGTCAGTCGATCGTAGTGCCCTGCATTAGTGACAATACATGCGACAAAGTCACGCTCTGAATGCGACGCTTTTGTGTTGCGGTACAGCCTCCTCAGACAGACAAACAGTACCACACCTAAGGAACACCAGCGCCCCTAAGCCGATACCGATACCGGTGGCTGATGGTGCCCTGGCAGCGACCGTGTCGTACAGTAGGTCCACAAGATAAGTCCTCTCCGTATGCGGGCAGGTGAGGCCTGAGTAGCGTTCAGGAGCTAACTGCCCACTGATGACCCGCATACGGCGGGGATTTATTTTGTAGTCCCCGCCGTATGCGTAGGTACAGTAGGTCTACAAAATAAGTCCCCGCCGTATGCGGGTCAGCAGTGGGCAGTTAGCGCCTGAACGCTACTCAGGCCTCACCTGCCCGCATACGGAGAGGACTTATCTTGTGGACCTACTGTACGCGACAGTCGCAGTGGCGACATTGATAGAAAATGTACGAAGACACCGGTCATCATGCTGACTGGCTTTTGCAAAATCCCTTGTTGGCACCTAATTTAACCCGCGCCGGGCGGGGGGGTGTGTGTGTTTGAACACCCCCCTTGCGGTTTTTCGCAGATATCTCAAAAACGGCGGCGCTCCGCGCCGCCGTTTTTGGCACACCTGTTCGTGCATCTTTTCCGCACATGTTGTGAAAATTTCAGACCCAGGTCACCTTAGGTCAGGTCACCAGGTCACGCCAAGTGACCTCACCTCATAAAAAAATAAGAATGCTCGTCATAGCTACACCGACTGAACGATTGCCTTGAAACTTTCAGCGATTGATAAGAGCAACACTATCTATAAAATGTATATCTCGGAATTTTGATATCGGTGACCTAAGGTCAGGTCAATTTTGCAGCCTCTCCGTTATAAGTCAATGGGAGAAAATTGAAAAGCGTCTGTTTTGCACGAACGCTATTCTAGACACTCTCAAACATCGAGATGTAGGTAAAATAGACACACTGAACCAGAAAATGGCAACTGTGACCCCTCGTTATGTCCCCGAGGTCATCTCAGGTCACGAACAGAATCTAACAGTTTTTCGATGATAACTTCTGATAGAGGCGTGCTAGAGCGCTGAAAACGCCTTAGATGTGTTCGGCTCGACGTTGCGGTTCGACTGATATGCAACATGACCTTTTCCGGTCAGGTCATGACCTTGACCTGAGGTCAAATTTTCAAGTTGACCTTTCAAGGTCAAATTATAGTTCATTCGACGCGTCTCGACGAGAGGAACACGATGCTGGCAAAAGTAATGTCATAGCTCTTTTGAGTCAAAAGTTATTGCCGAAAAAACGTTTTTCGTAAAAACGGCTATTTTTGGAGTTTTTGCCCTCTGGAGGCTAAACCGTTGACCTGAGGTCAAATCTGAGAACATTACTTAGAAAGGTCTGTAAAAGGGCTATCGAATGCGCTTTTTTGCGGCGCTGTAGCTCTATCGGTTCCCGAGATAGCCGTTGGCAGTTTCCAAAATGTTGAAATAGTCAACATTTTACCTTTGGTGACCTCTGGTGACCTGACCTTTGACCTGACCCAAAAAATGACCGAAGTGTTTTCGTCCTTATTTTTGACGTTCTTTCGATTGCCGCTTATCGCAAGTCGCTACGTGGCCGAGGAGCCGAGTTAGAAGGGGGGGGGGGTGTTCAAACACCCCCCGCGGCCCGGCGCGGAATCTCAGAGCACCGGCCCGGCGCGGGTTAAGGTATAGCTTTAGGGCCTTGAATTTACGTGACAATAAATTAAAAAAGCACTCCATGACTGGAATTGTTTGACAAATCAAGGCCCATAATCACAGTCTGCCACCCTCGAGCCGTTCTCGAACGTTCCCGCTGTAAGGTGCGTAAGCGCTCCCGTGGGCCATGGCTAAAGTCCTCGTTGTGTGCATAATGTACACAGTTTACCTATTGTACCTATTGTAGAGGTCTAGAATTTCGTCAAATAGCGGAAGTTATTCCACAATGACTAGCAGACGGTAGAGTTTCGAGGGGTGCGATGTTTAGAAGCGGATGCGGTTTGATGCAAATGACAGTTTTCGGGCCGTTATGCAAGACAGGCTTTTTCATGTAGTACAGTGATACAGTAGTCTACGGCATGGTTCGAACCTGGCAAGTGGACTTCAAAAAGTCGTAGAAAACGTAGAAAGCAGTTGAATTTGGTGACAAGGTTGGCCCGTTCTATTTCCAGGAGTAGCCGTGATACTCCTGCTGGCCTTCGTGGACCTGAAGCGACGCGGCTACTCCAGAGAGATCAGCTGGCCGGACCTCCTGAAACTCTATGTTCTCACCCAGCTGAGCAGCATCAAAATGTACCGCATGCACAAGAAGTTCGAAAGGGATGTCCGAAGCTTTGAGCAGGTAAGAAAGTATTGCTTTTGCCTAACCGTAGCATATTTATGAATCTTATTGCATGTCTGTAAAGCGTGGAATAACTTTTCGGCTTATGTCACAACTGAGCCATGACTGAGCTCTCAACCCTCGCCCGAATAGGGGAGGAGGAGGTCGAACGGAACCATCCCTCGGTTTTTCGCGAATAACTCGCGTAAAAAGCGGCTGATCGCGACGAAGCTTTCAGTACCCTCGCGTTAATTAATTTTACACATATCCTTAAAATTTCATGACCCTGACGCAAATGACCTCTGACCTGTGACCTACTTTTAACCCGCGCGGGGCTGGGGTCTCCAGCCGAACGCGCGGGGCTGGGGGGGGGGTAAATTTTACCCCCCTGTTATCTCCCGAACTAATGGTCCGATTTGGAAACTTCAAACGCCAATCGAAAGATCTCATCACGAACAACTAAAAACATGTACTTAATTTTAAGTTTGAGGTCAAGGTCAAGGTCAGGTCAAGGGTACAAATTGCAAGTTCCTACAGTATCGGCCTTGCACCGTAGTTGCCGAAGAATGGAGTCATGGACTGAGACTGATCGCCCAAAACGTGTTCTTAGGCTACCAAGACAATATTCGTTGCATACAATATCATTCAGAGGTCAAGGTCAAGGTCAGGTCAGGTCAGGTCAGGTCACCAAAAACAAAATATAGAAAAGGGCATGTGCGACACATGTTTTATGGGTCATTTTACTCATAGAATTCTATAGGCACACTCAATAAGTGGTATGGACCACCTCTGGATGAATTTCAGGTCGAGGTCAGGTCAAGGTCAGGTCAAGTGAGGTCAAATTTTGAAGTTGGTTGTTAACCCGCGCGGGGCTGGGGGGGGGGGTAAATTTTACCCCCCCTCGCGAATTTTTGCGATATCTCAAAAACGGCGGCGCGCAGCGCCGCCAAACTTTCAGTACCTTTTCTTACATCAATTTGACACCTTCCCTGAAAATTTGAGCGAAATCCGTCGGAAAATTTTTGAGAAATTGACGTTTTAGTGACGTCATGTTCGCCATTTTCGCCTCAAAAACGGCAAAAGTTCAAACGCCGCTAACATCTTCATTTTTAAAGGAATCAAGACGTAACAAAAAAGGTTATACGTAATTTTACTTTGTCTATCAAATGGCTATCTCGGTTTTTTGAAAATTTTGGATTTTGGCCTAAATTTTTTCAAAAAACTGATTTTTTTGGGAAAATCATTATAAAATCCAAAATTTTGAGTCTATCGAAAAAACCGGAATATATGTCAGAGAAGTGGTCTATGTGCACCTACATACCAAATTTTAGAAGAATCGGTTCAAAAATGTGGGAGTTATTCAAAATTTTATGACGTCACGACACACAAATTTTTTGAAAAATGACTTTTTTGGAAATTCTAGACCTCGTACGGAAACAAAAATAGCACCATTCGATTCGCCGTGAAAAACTGCATCAGATAGACACCTTTTTAGGCCTTAACAACCAACTTCAAAATTTGACCTCACTTGACCTGACCTTGACCTGACCTCGACCTGAAATTCATCCAGAGGTGGTCCATATCACTTATTGAGTGTGCCTATTGAATTCTATGAGTAAAATGACCCATAAAACATGTGTCGCACATGCCCTTTTCTATATTTTGTTTTTTGGTGACCTGACCTGACCTGACCTGACCTTGACCTTGACCTCTGAATGATATTGTATGCAACTAATATTGTCTTGGTAGCCTAAGAACACGTTTTGGGCGATCAGTCTCAGTCCATGACTCCATTCTTCGGCAACTACGGTGCAAGGCCGATACTGTAAAAACTTGCAATTTGTACCCTTGACCTGACCTTGACCTTGACCTCAAAATTTAAATTAAGTACATGTTTTTAGTAGTTCGTGATGAGAGCTTTCCATTGGCGTTTGAATTTTCCAAATCGGACCATTAGTTCGGGAGATAACAGGGGGGGTAAAATTTACCCCCCCCCCAGCCCCGCGCGTTCGGCTGGAGACCCCAGCCCCGCGCGGGTTAAGGCCTAAAAAGGTGTCTATCTGATGCAGTTTTTCACGGCGAATCGAATGGTGCTATTTTTGTTTCCGTACGAGGTCTAGAACTTCCAAAAAAAGTCATTTTTCAAAATTTTTGTGTGTCGTGACGTCATACAATTTTGAATAACTCCCACGTTTTTGAACCGATTCTTCTAAAACTTGGTATGTAGGTGCACATAGACCACTTCTCTGACATATATTCCGTTTTTTTCGATACACTCAAAATTTTGGATTTTATAGCTATTTTCCCAAAAAAGTCAGTTTTTTTTAAAAAAAATTTAGGCCAAAATCCAAAATTTTCAAAAATCCGAGATAGCCATTTGATAGACAAAGTAGAATTACGTATATCTTTTTTTGTTACGTCTTGATTCCTTTAAAAATGAAGATGTTAGCGGCGTTTGAACTTTTGCCGTTTTTGAGGCGAAAATGGCGAACATGACGTCTGTAAAACGTCAATTTCTCAAACATTTTCCGACGGATTTCGCTCAAATTTTCAGGGAACGTGTCAAATTGATGTAAGAAAAGGTACTGAAAGTTTGGCGGCGCTGCGCGCCGCCGTTTTTGAGATATTGCAAAAATTCGCGAGGGGGGGGGGGTAAAATTTACCCCCCAGCCCCGCGCGGGTTAAAGGCCATGTTTGTCGGCTCGGATTAGCCGCGCGTTTGCAGTCTTTTCGTGGTTTCAAACGTTCAAACAGGTGATATGATGTTGTTCCCATGCATCAGGGTGGGTGTCAAGATCACTTGAAGTTCAGGTCAGGTCATTGACCTTTGATGACCTCGGTTCACTTTTTCCAGTTTTACATGTTTCTAGTCTAGTTTTTGGAGCTGAATTCGAATTTAGCAACCATATGAACATTTACGAGGCAGTTTTGGTACCTTCGTAACATATAACGAAGCTCTCAGAGGCGGTTGACACTAGATATGTCAATCGGATATCGACTTTTTGGTATACCGATACCAAACCGATATCAACTCGGTATTTGGTATTTCAATCCTAATGTGTTTGGTATTTTGTTGGTATCATGAACCCTCGCTAATGTTTAAGAGGCTAAGAGATCGGTAAAAAGTTGGTATTTTCCTCATGTTCCCAAGTTGGTTTGGTTTCGGTATTTCTCCACAGTTTTGGTTGATAATTGGTTTGGTATCGGTATTCCGATTTTCCGTAATTGACATCACTAGTTGACACCTATTACGAATACTCGGCAGGACCCCTACTGGTTGACCTGACCTGACCTGACCTGACCTGACCTGACCTTACCTGACCCGACCTGGCGTAAATGCATCAAGATATCAGCTGTAATCAAAGCTAACATGATATTCGTGATCAGCACCCTGAAAACTCTCATAGCAGCCACACTTAACAACGTTCTAATAGGTCCCGATTTTACCAACTTTTGGGTCATTGACCTGACCTAGAATGTCAACCGATGACGTAGGACCTTAAAATTGGGTATCATCGGCTTCCTCTCGTCACGGGCAACACGCTCGTTTTTTTCCGCGAACGGCGAAGCTCTAGGTCGATCAGGGGCGAAACGGCAAAGGGGCAACGGACGCCCCCCCCCCATACGTTCACGGATGGAAAAACACCAATACGGGCGAGGGTTAAACCACATCTCGGACGTTTTTGTCAAGGGTTTTGCTAGTGACATGAAAACTGTGACTTTAACGTGACAATTGTCTTTGGGGCATTTTAATTGAAGTTACCCAGCGGCTCTCGTGATTTGATGTTACACAATAGTCGGTAGAGCGTTACACAATAGCCGGTCCTGTAGCTCAGTCGGTAGAGCGGTCTCCGCGTGGTGAGAGCACGCGTTCCCGGTTACAACAGTGCGGGTTCGAAGCGCGACGGGTGCTTGACATTTAGGTATGGGCCTCCTGACAGGTATGGTTGCGGTTATTGGCATGCGTAGCCAGGCGAAGTTAGTGAGGGGACCGGCCGTGCGCGGCTATGTGCGCACGTTGAACTTTGGACTCTAAATTCTGCCATAGAACCGGAATTGCGCGATCGGAGGGTAGAGGGCAGGGTCAACGCAACAAGCTTCGCTTAGCGGCGGCTCTGTCCTTGTGAATCCCTCCAATCAAAAGGTTCGGACTAAATTTATGCAAAAGAAAAAGGATCAATAAGACATTCTGGGGTTTATTTCGCAAGCTAAGAGTATAACATTATGGGCCTATTTTCAGGCGCAATCAATTTTCCTGATGGACCGGATCCGCCGCTCAGAAAATACAGGCTTCGGAAGAGACAACGATTTTTCCTCCATCCGCAGCGTGTCAGACTTCCGACGGAGTATGCCGTTGTTTGACTTCCCGCAAATGGAGGACTACGTCAACCGTCTGGCCGACGGGGAGAAATCAGCCCTCCTTGGCGACACGGATGACGTCTTCATTTTCATCACATCCTCAGGAACTACCGGCAGAAACAAGCGGATCCCGATGTCTCAGCAGGCCGCTAGGGACATGCAGAACCAGGTGCTGTTTGGCCCGCTGCAGTGGGTCGTTCGCCGCCATTTCCCCTGGAATCTGAGGCGCATTCTCAACGTGAACAACGGCCGTGTGCTGGAGAAGACCAAGGGCGGCTACACCGTCAGCGCCGCCGCGCACGTCGTCTACGCGCGCATGAACACGCTGACGGCGGAGCTGTTCACCACGCCACTCGTCGGCCAGCAGGTGAAGAGCGAGTTCGAATCTCACTACATCCACGCACTTTTCGGCCTCTGCGACAAGCACATCAGCGTGCTGCGCACAGTGTTCGTGTTCAACTTCCTGACGTTGATGCGCCGCATCCAGCAGAACCTGCCGGACCTACTGCGCGACATGCGCCGCGGCCGCATCAAGGAGGACCTGAACATACCGCCCGACGTGAGGGAGGAGCTGAACCGCCACCTGAGGCCGACGCCGCAGCGGGCCGACGAGGTCGAGCGTGAGTTCGCCAAGGGCATGGCCGGTATCGTGCCGCGCCTCTGGCCGCAGATGGATCGCACCAGCGGCATCTGGTCGGGCAGCACCAACGAGACGTACTACCGCGAGGCGCGCTACCTGCTTGGACCCGACATCCCCATGCTCAGCTTCACGTACAGCGCCTCGGAGGGCTACATGGGCTCCAACATCGACAGCTGGACCGGGCCGCCGCGCTACACGCTCATTCCCGACATCATGTTCTACGAGTTCCTGCCCATCGTCCACGACCGGATCCCGGAGCTCGGCGAAATCGACCGCCGGGACCTGCTGCTCGGCCACGAGCTGGAGGTCGGCAAAGAGTACGAGATCATCATCACCAACTCGTCGGGCTTCTACCGGTACCGCGTCGGAGACGTCATCAAGGTGGTGGGCTTCTACCAGCAGGCGCCGCAGATCGAGTTCCTCTACAGGTGGGTTACTTCCGCCGTAGTACAGACATATAGGCGCAGGCCGAGCTCCTCTATAAGTGCGTCACTGCTGCCGCAATACATATGTAGATACAGGCGCAGTCTGCGCTCCTCTGCATATGGGTCACTCCTTCGTGATACAAAGATTCAGGCGTAAGCCGAGCTCTGCTATAGACGGGCCACCCTTGCGTGATATGCTTTTATAGAATGTTTTTTTTTTCACCGGATGCTGACCGGATGCAAATATCTTTAGCACAACACGTGAGCTAATGTGTCGAAACATTTTTAATAGGATAAAGCATATTTTGGATTGTTTTGTATAAAATGTGGATGCAGTTTATTCAGGTCTTTGTATTTGCAGCCAGTAGCCACACATCGCTTGATTGCTCGTAGATCGTTCCTGGCGCACCCCGGGTTTTTGGTATCATTCTACCATTTTATACCGCTCTATCAATTGATCTCCTGTAGCAACAGACTATGCTTAATGTCCTTTACTTTGCCTGTCGCCGATTCACCAATTTACACGCAGCTGCACATGACCTGTCGTCGGGTTCCCCAGGTCGGGCCAGTCTCTGAACGTCTGCGGCCCCTGAACTGTCCTCGGGTTCCTCAGGTCGGGCCAATCGCCGAACGTCTGCGGCTCGTGACCTGTCCTCGGGTTCCCCAGGTCGGGCCAGTCGCTGAACGTCTGCGGCTCGTGACCTGTCCTCGGGTTCCCCAGGTCGGGCCAGTCGCTGAACGTCTGCGGCGAGAAGACCTCTGAGGAGGTGTTGTTCCGCGCGCTGCGCGACGCCGCCCGGCAGTGGCCCTCCCAGCTGAAGGACTACACGGCGGCCGTCAGCCAGTTCGCACTGCGCCGCCAGGGCGACCTCAGCCTCTGCTATATCCTCTTCATCGAGCTGGAGGGCGAGCCGCTGACCGAGACTCAGACCGACCTGGTGAGTCGGGACTGGGACACAGTCCGACTGAGACACGGACAGACTGAGACAGACCGAGACACAGACCGACCTGGTGAGTTGGAAATGGGACACAGTCCGACTGAGACACAGACAGACTGAGACAGACTGAGACACAGACCGACCTGGTGTGTCGGGAATGGGACACAGTCCGACTGAGACACGGACAGACTGAGGCAGACTGAGACACAGACCGACCTGGTGAGTTGGAAATGGGACACAGACCGACTGAGACACGGAGAGACTGAGACAGGCTGAGACACAGACCGACCTGGTGAGTTGGAAATGGGACACAGTCCGACTGAGACACATACAGACTGAGACAGACTGAGAGACACAGACCGACCTGGTGAGTTGGGACTGGGACACAGGCCGACTGAGACACGGACAGACTGAGACAGACTGAGACACAGACCGACCTGGTGAGTCGGGACTGGGACACAGTCCGACTGAGACACGTACAGACTGAGACAGACTGAGACACAGACCGACCTGGTGAGTTGGAAATGGGACACAGTCCGACTGAGACACGGACAGACTGAGACAGACTGAGACACAGACCGACCTGGTGAGTTGGAAATGGGACACAGTCCGACTGAGACACAGACCGACTAATACACAGAGCGACTGATACACAGACCGACTGGAGACACAGACTGAGACACAGACCGACCAGAGGCGTCTTGCACCAAACTACCTAGCTAGGTAAAATCAAAAACCGGTTTCAGAATAAGCTAATCTAACGGTGGTAAATTTGTTTGCAATAGCCCAATACATAATCCTACATGTGCTTGCTACATTTTGCACGCAAATTGTTACATTTGAGACTTAGACTGGGTATACGATGCAAAATAACCCAAGCATTGGTGCAAGAGGATTTTGGTGCAAGAGGCTTCTGGTGAGTCGGGACTGGGACACAGGCCGACTGAGACACGGACAGACTGAGACAGACTGAGACACAGACCGACCTGGTGAGTCGGGACTGGGACACAGTCCGACTGAGACACGGACAGACTGAGACAGACTGAGACACAGACCGACCTGGTGAGTCGGGACTGGGACACAGGCCGACTGATACACAGACCGACTGATACACAGAGCGACTGAGACACAGACCGACTGAGACACAGACAGACTGAGACACAGACTGAGCGAGACACGGACCAACCTAAAGACACATCAACTGAAATACAGACGACTGAGACACATGCCAACTGAGATACAGACCGGGGACACAGATCAACTAAGACACGGACCGACACACAAACTGACACACAAATTGAGACACAGAGTGAGGCAAGGACCGACTGAGACACAGGCTGACTGAGGTGCATGCCGGTGAATGAGACACAGACTGACTGAGACACGGACTGAGTGAGACACTGATTGCGTGTGACACAGGCTGAGACATAGACTGAGACACAGGCCGACTGAGACGCAGTGACTGTGTTCCCACACCAGCTGAGACAAAGACCGATCCGGTGAGGCAGAGGCCGGTCTGTGCCTCACCAGATCAGGCTGCAGAGGCACAGTGGAGGTACTTGATAACTCCCAGGATATTGGGAAAAGGGACAGCTATTGTCCAATAATGACTGCCTGGCCAGAGCATGTGCGATGACAAGATTATCATGAAGGTCGTGAAATGCCTGTCGCTATTTATTCAAGTCTCTATTTGGCCTACTTTATGTACCGATTAGTCACCCCCCTGATTTGGTTTGCACCGAGTTTGTGACTGCGTGTCCGTCGGCAGGTGGACGAGACACTGCGCGAGCAGTCGGAGGAGTACGCCAGCTACCGGACGCTGAGGAAGCTCTCCAAGATGACCGTGCACCAGGTGGCGCCGGGCACCTTTGCCCGGTTCCGCTCGCACCTCATTGAGACCACGGCCGTGGCCGCCAACCAGTTCAAGATGCCGCGCGTGCTGAAGAGCCCGGACAGTGTCGCCTGGTTCATGGACCACGTGCAGAAGTAGAGCGGACAGTATCGCCTGAAGAGCCCGGACAGTGTCGCCTGGTTCATGGACCACGTGCAGAAGTAGAGCGGACTGCCGGTGATGGGTGACATGTTCGACAGGAGAAAGACAAAACGAAAATGTTGCCTTTTCAATGCAATTTGAAGAGTGAATACCAGGGTCGGAGCTTCCTACCGAGGGGTGGGGCAGCTGCCCCAGCAAATCATTTTTCGCATTGAGTAGCTTTGAAATGTTTGCGTAATGGAAAAGATTATCTCCATGTAGGTTTGACGACATTTTGCCCCGCAACCAAGAAAAGGCTCCACCAACTGAGCAATGATGAAATGCAGATGTGATGCGTGTTTCTGTTTCTCCCGGAGTGTGAAGTAATAGTAAAAAAGCATGATTTGAACACTGTCAATTTCCTTGGACCTTATTGATCAGTATCTGTAAGAAATAAGAATCTTGGTTGATCCAGGTGGGGGACGGGACGTACGTGTATATCGCCTGAGGTGGTTGGATGTCGAATTGTTTCTTCACTTAATGCTCAATGCAATCGCTGCGACTTTTTACAAGACCCTCTCGTGATCATTATTCCTTCCTTTCAGCTGCTGATCTCGCTATTTTGACTATCCCCACGCGAAATAAGATGAATTAAGCCAACATTAGGTTAAAAAATGAATATTATGACACAGAACACTTCTTTTGAAGGCGATGAGTTGAGCGGTTGGGAGCCTCACGAAATATGTTGCAGCTATGACGCGTTGCATTAACTAGCACACAAATATTGTGCTCAAAAGTTTGGGCAGGAACCTCGCAAGCACTTGTTGAATAACGTGTGTAGTATTTAGTCTCGTAGCAACAAGTAAGCGTTGCGAAATTTCGAACACTATTGAGTGCGCCAAGATTGCCGACATTGACGAGGTCAGGTGAATGTTGTCAGCTGATATAGTAATGATGAAAAACGATTAAATTTAGCTTATGTTTGATATTGCAAGCAGAAACTTGTTTCTTAGCTATACGGTAAGCTTTGCTTACGATATAGCTTACGGTCTTAGCTGATGGTAGTAAATAAAGCTTTGTAGGGATCAATTTAACCCTCGCCCGTATAGGGGGGGTCGAACGGACCCCCCCCCATGGTTTTTCGCGAATAACTCGCGTAAAAAGCGGCCGATCGCGACGAAACTTTCAGTACCTTCGCGTTCATCAATTTCACACCTACCCTGAAAATTTCATGACCCTGACCCAAATGACCTTTGACCTGTGACCTACTTTTCGAGACCATGTTTGGCTGGAATCGCGATTCGGCGTATGTCGGCTCGCATTAGCCGCGTGTTTGCAGTCTTTTCGTGGTTTCAAGCGTTGAAACATATGATATGATGTTGCCCCCATGCATTAGGGTGGGTGTCAAGGTCACCTGAAGGTCAGGTCAGGTCATTGACCTTTGATGACCTCGGTTCACTTTTTCGAGTTTTACATGTTTCTAGGCCAATTTTTTGAGCTGAATTCCAATTTAGCAACCATATGAACATTTACGAAGTGGTTTTGGTGCCTTCGTAACATGTTACGAAGCTGTCAGAGGCGGTTGCCACCTACTACGAATACCCTTACTGGTTGACCTGACCTGACATGACCCGACCTGGCCTAAATACATGAAGACATCATCTGTGATCAAAACTAACATGATATTCGTGATCAGCACCCCGAAAAACCCCATAGCAGCCACACTTTACGACGTTCTAACAGGTCCCGATTTTCCCGCCTTTGGGGGTCATTGACCTGACCTGCAAGGTCAACCAATGACCTAGGACCTTAAAATTGGGTATCATCGGCTTCCTCTCGTCACGGGCAACACGCTCGTTTTTTTCCGCGAAGCTCTAGCTCGATCAGGGGCGAAACGGCAAGGGGGGGGGGGGTCCAACGGACCCCCCCCCCCCCCTTATACGCTCGCGGCTGGAAAAACACCAATACGGGCGAGGGTTAAACCATCCTTCTACCAAATGTTTGAAAAATTAATTAAATGTAGTGTGCCACCTTTGAAAGATTTCCCATTTTATTTTTCCTAGGATAAGAAGCTTCTGTTTTTACCTAATATCGCAAAAAAAATCAAAAATGGGCCTGGAATAGTGCCTTTTTCGCCTAAAAGTTTATCGGTTTTTCGATATGTATAACAACTGTAGTGGGCTGACCTGCAAACAGGCGTCGGCAACAATCGCGAATGGGGCGCACAGCAAAGGTCATTTTAGAGTTACGACCATGTTACGACGTACGGGAATGAGTTATCAGCTGTCTAATCGTAGACAACAGCCTTAAACTGTAAGCCTGTATTGGTATTGTTTCTTTTATTTGGCTGTCAAACATTATTTATGGTTTAAAATATGATTTTATGTAAAATAATTGATATGAAAAAGCCGTCTCTTAAGTTATGACCCCATTTCACCACACGCAAGTGGCAGAAATGACAATGATCAGCTGACGCATTTATCTTGGCCGAAGTCAGAGCGCGCGGCCCGACGCACCACCACCGCACCACAAAGTATGAGCAGAAGCCGCGCCCAAAGCCAGGGCCCCGGTAACGTGAGGTAGCCGAGTCGGGGCAGCGTGCGCTGACCCAAGCCGGGGCCGCAGCTTTGGGCGCGGTCTACCGCATCCCCGCGGGCAGCCCCGGGCTATCACATGACACCGGGAGGGTGCGCGGCCCCGGCTTGGGTCAGCGCACGCTGCCCCGACTCGGCTAACTCACGTTACCGGGGCCCTGGCTTTGGGCGCGGTCTACCGCACCACCTAACAGGCGTGTTCAAAACCGCAGGAGATGATGATGAACGGGTTTATCGAAACTTGATTGGATGAGCATATCGGTAATAGCGATTTCAGTGTGTGCATTTATTGTTCATAGTGGTGTGAAATGTGGTTGGGGTACGACCGACAACCCATCGGGGCGAATTTCGCACTGGGGTACTCAAAATTTGAAGAATTTAAGGCCTTTCCATGAGTTTTGAAGGTATGGATAAGTTCTAAAAATCCGGTTCTCCTTATCTGGGCCATTAACTCCATACGGTCCAGGAAAGCTGGCACACTACCTTTAAGGCTACTGAATATGGTGAACAGGGTCGGGAAGAGGATCACGTGACTGCGGCCACCACCTGTCAAGCCTCTGAGAATCTTGACTGATCAGCTATCATGAAGCGTCTGTTTTTTAATTTTGTCTTCTGTAATCTTTCCGACTCAGTGAACGACGGAATGCAGCGCGGGCATGCTGTGCCGCAGAACACAGCTGGCGGGACAGCCGGCGCACAGCGGGACAGCCTGCCCACATAAAATGAAGGATTCCCTATATCTGTCCGAGAAGCCCAGGCATGATCATGAAGAACCTGGCGATGGATGATTAAGGCGACCGGCTGCCCCAGGCACATCAACGAGGAGCTCAATGAGAGGTGTGTGTGTGTGGGGGGGGGGAGGGGGGGGGGATCACTTAACGCCCCTGCGGCTACTGACGGCCGCTGATTAATAGGGAGAAGTTCTGTCGGCCCTCAGACACTCTGAGCCTGAGAAGTGAGAAGATGACATGACGAACCCAGGGGTGCCAGCAGCCTCGACTGAAGTCTGGAGGGCGCTAGTGGCTGCAGCCTGTAGGGATGCTGATGGCCGGAGGCTCGCCAGGAGCCTAGAGCGCGCCAGTGGCCGAGGACAGATTATTATACCTAAGAGATTATTACATTATGTATGATATAGTATTATAGTATTGTAGTATTATGGAGGAATATTAGGGATCTTCGCTGGGCCGGTAATGACGACCACTACACACCTGATAAGGGCGGCACTTGGCACTCGACAGGGGCGGCATCCTAATCTTTAATAACCACGAGTTTAAAAAAGTCGACAGCCGAACCATTCATCACGTACGTCATCTTTAGCCAGTTCCCGGGCCGTAACGGTTTGGGTATCGTCGGCTTAAATCACCGCCTGTTGGCTGATAACCGGCCACCTGCCTCTCTCCAAGCTTCGAAGGGCGGCATTATCACTTTAAAGTGCCCATCCCACCTTAACATTAGCTTTGAGCTGAGATAGCCAGAATTAGTTCCCTGGCTTGCACTTACCGGTTTGGGTACTCACAACATCAAGAAATGGCTCAAATCGAAAATATCTAATTTCAAAGATGCAGCACTTGGATTCAGAGGGGCTAATGCATTAGAATGCCCTCTGAATGTGTGACGTCAGCGCAGATTTAACGATTTTAAATCTTTTACTTAAACGTTTGGTAGCATGCGGTAGTATATACTATATATGAGTTCAGTGCTATATATACTGCTTTGCGCGCAACAAGTGCCGCACTTTCAGCTGCCAAATTATTGCTTCAAAATAAGTCGCAAGGAACAGCGGAGATCCCAAAAAGTAAACATAATTAAAAGCCTAGGTAATATCTTGAAAACCGGTGAATATTTTTCAGTGAAGTTTGGTAAATATTGGTTTTTGCTCTTTCTGAACCGAGCGACATCACTTTCCTGCCAATTCATTAACTTTTTTGAAGGTGGGAGCCGGGAGGGTCCCTTTAAACGTCACCAGTATTGGTGTTTTACCAGCTCTGCTACCGTACATACATAAGACAAGGGGGGTCGTCGGATCCCCAGGGGGCTGAGAAAAAAGTACGCATCGCAAAAGTACGTGTGCTAAGTGTACGTCAGTAAATGCAGATACGAAGGACAAAAGTAGGTACACATCGCAAATGTTCGTACGTAAGGTGAGGTAGCTTCGTGAAAAAATACAAATCTTCCTCCACAGCCAACGTTTTACGTTGGTATGCAAAGGCTGAGGCATGCTTAGCACGACCATTTCATTGCACACGCTATGGTCCCTCTTAGTTGGCATATTCGCAAATTGCATTTTAAAAAAGACGTTTTTGCTCCTAACTTCGTACGTAGGGTCATAACTTCGTGAATTACCAGCATCTGCGATGCTGGGCTCCGCATCGCGGGACCGCAGGTTGTTTGAGCAAGCACCTCTGTAAATGCAGCAAAAACGCCCGCCGCCAAACGAGAGAACGAGCATTGCACGTGCAGCCCGGAGTGGGTGTGCTACAAACTGACGTGCACGGTATCGTATTCGCTGTTCTATAGCGGTGTGCCAAATTTGAGTGCAATCGGCCCGGCCATTTTCGAGATCTGAAAGCGTCACCCTGCACGTGCGCACGTGCAAGCTTTGTCCAATTGACTTGTGCATGAGACCCTATTCGCCGGTCTCTAGCGGTGTACCAAATTTGAACTCAATCGGCCCAGTCAATTTCAAGATCTGGAAGCGACCGCCGACCCCTGTAGGGTCATAACTTCGTGAATTATCTTTCAATGATAATAAACAAGCTTTTGTTTTGGGATGCCGCAGAAGTGAGAAGCTTTGCTGAATTTGGTGTCTTTCAAAACCCGTCAGCGTATCTTGCATGTTGCCTTCAGACCATAACTGGTGCTTTCCCTCCTTGCCTGTGGCTAAGCATAAAATCGCAGCGGGCAGCGTACAGGTAAATTTTGGCAATGGAAAATATTAGTATATATCTTTTAGGAAAGAGTATAATAAGAACCTGGGTGGCTTTTCAGGGAATTATGTATTACTTTACTTTTTCATCACGAAGTTAGGGTTCACGAAGTTGAGAACCTGTACAATATTTTTTCATTTGGCAGCATTACAAAGGTTTAGGGAAAGC